TGCCTGTCAGTTCAACGACAGAATTTGTCATGTCATTACCAAAGATTTGCTGGACGATATAGATGAATGCATAGATAAATAAATATGTAGCAAGAATGAATGGTTATTTCGTGGTAGTAAGCGATTCGTCGCTCTCACAGATCCATCTATTTACATTATATAATTTTTTTGAAAGGAACAGATTTACCCTCAACAAAATAAACAAACCGAAATTGCTTACATTAGCACGGCTTATGGTTAAGCTCGACGAGCGACGATACAGCGCGTCGTCCGAACTTAACACAAACTTAATGTTATATTATGTTTTGATACTAAAATAGCATAAGCGTTAACTTGTCACATTATTTTAAAACATACCAGTTGTTGCGAACCAAAATTTAAAGTTACTATGTATGACAATTATACATAAAATAACATAGCTAAAACTGAACGAACAAATGGACAATTTCTACGCCTTTACAAAGTAGATTGACATGGAAAGTTTAAAGAACACTAAATGTCAGAACAAAGATGGTAAAAAATTTAAGAGTCCTAAAAGGTTTTCATAATAATATAAGAAAGAACTAAAAAAAAAAAAAAACTTAAACAATACGCTTTGATCGTGACCTGTGATGACCCTTGTAATAATACTATTCTTAGTCATGAAATTATTGTATTGTTACCAGTTCTTATATTATATCTTAAATTTCAGATCATTCTCTGTCAGTCTGGAAGTGGGTAAAAACCGAATCAAAATTTTCAGTATATTCATACGTACTTAGATATATATATATTAGTAAAGTTAGGTAAGATAAAGCATATTACAATAATAATTATGATCCTTATTAAATAGTTTAATATTTTGGAATTCTTTTAATTTTACTTATATAATATTCTATGTTACAGTTCTTGACCGTCTACTTCTTTTGTTTATGAAAAGGTTTTTTATCGAATAGTATAAGTATTTAAAAAATTTAAACTACATTGATCATAAGTTGTGATGATCCAGGTGAGAATGGTGAGGTCATATACAACAGTAATAAATTTCCATAACATTCATACATACATTCATAGATATACAGCTCAAGCTGATATAAAGCAAGTAAAATTCGATAATTTTTTTTCCTACCAAAGCCTAATCATATGACATTAAACTATTTGGCCGTATAGTGGCAGTTAAGAATGTCCACTATCCCATATCTTCCCGTGGGTGTCGTAAGAGGCGACAGCGAGAAACAGGCAAGAGATGGGCAGCAGCATCTTCAATATTACAATAAAAATACTGCGGTTGCCAACCCGCTCGCCAAGCGTGTCAACTATGGCAAATATCTCCCTATGATAAAAGTTAAGAAGAGACAGCCCCCAGTCCCCGGCAGCCCCGCTATTCCTGGCTACGGTGGCGACCATGGTAACGGCGGGGCAGGTACTAAGGTACTAAGAATCTTCGGTGGAGGTTCGATTGCCACCTAAGATGACAATCGACCTGGTAACATACAACGCACGCACCCTGAGGATTGACGAGAAGATCCTGGAGCTCGCAGAAGAGATAGACAAGTTAAGCTGACATATTATACGATTATCCGAGGTTCAAAGAGAGGGGAAGGACACGGTAATCCTTGAAACTTGTTCTATCACCGGGAGGGCGACCTGGGCGACGTCCCAAGGAGTGTCGGATTTACCGTCCACAAGTCTCTCGTTAAACACGTTGTAAAGATTATGAGTGTGTCGACGAGGGTTGCGTACCTTATACTCAGAATCACTAAACGGTATTCGTTGAAGGTCATACAGGTTTACGAACTAACCTCGGCACATCCCGATGAGGAGGTGGAGGAAATGTATGAGAATATCTCTAAAGCCATGCAATCCCCCAACACCCACAGTACGGTGTTAATGGGAGACTTCAACGCAAAACTAGGCATAAAATATAAAGACGAGCTGAGGGTAAGGAAATTTGGATTGGGGCAACGGAACCCAAGGGGCCAGCAGCTTGCCGACTTCAAGGAAAAGAGGGACTCTTTATGATGAACTCTTTCTTTCAGAAGCGGCCCTGCGGACCTGGTCGAACCCTGACGGTTCGACGAAAAATGAGATTGTTTCATTATGACGACTAAACGACAACTGTTCAGTTATGTCTCAGTGATCGCGAGGGTGAAAACTGGTGGCGATCACTGAATGGTTAGAGGCGCACTGAACCTAAACGTTAAGTTGGAGAGGTCTTATCTAATGAAGTTGTAGCCGGTGGAACGAAAAGGGGAGATCTTCGTATATTCTATATATACTGTTTTAGTTTCGGAACTTTGTTAGCGCGATTTAGACTTCGACGTGTTTTCGCTTGTGGCGCGACGACAGCGCCGCCACATCACCCCCCTGGTTAGACCAGAGGTCGATAGTGCAGTCTAGATGTCGACGAATTTGCAAGTGCCAGGGAATTGCCTTGTAATCTGCGGTGAGTCGAGAAGAAGACAAGTAATCTGCGAGAGTGCCGTGAAGCAGAGGCGAGCAGTAATGCTCAGAGCCGTGCCGAACACTGTAGCGCAGAGAGTAGCTTGAAGGAACAGGAAGCATTATTATTCCAGTGCTGCGATGAACCTTTGTAAAGCTAGAAGGCTTGCAGAATGTGAACACTGCAGACAATATCTGCTCGGAAGTGAATGAATGGGGTACTTGAGGATGATGAAGTTTTGAAGGTGTAGTTTCCGAAGGTTTGTTGGTTGCGTGTTCATATCACGTCGGGGTCATCAATTATATGTGGGGATGCGAATAATCAACACACCACATATATTAAATAACCGTTTATTTCTACGAAGTTTAAAGTCGTGGATCGGAGCGCGGACGAGCGGCCTCACGGCGTCGGACGGTCACATCGACTGGCGAGGCGGCGAAAAACGAACCGGTTGCTCCAGCGCAGCCGAGGGCTCCCGAAGATTGCCGAACGGTCAACAGCTACGGCCGTGCTGCCACAAAGTCAACCCTCCGTCCCCCTCGGGCTCTAATACAAAGTCCTGAAACCTTTCAGCTCGAGTTACAAAACCTTTTTCAGTGCTTAGAAGATTGCAATGACGTGGACAATATGAATGATAAGCTCGTGGAAACTTTCCGTGTGGTCGGAACTAAGTTCTGCAAGACCTGCCGCAGAAGAAACCAAAAAGTCTACAGTCTTCAACAGATTTGACAGCATACAAGCAACTGAACAGACAGATCTCCAAATGCATGCGGCGGGACTCAAGCAACTTCAATACAGCTTGTATTGAAGAAGCGATCGAGCGGAACCAAGGCTCCAAAGTCTTTGCCAGAGATCTGTTTGCCAAAAAGAGCCAACAGTCAAAGCTGAAGACGGAGTGTGGCAACATCGTTTCCGGGACACCTGAGATTTTGAGTGAGATTGAGCAGTTCAATGGGCAGCTGAACACTTCACCGTTGGAGCCACACGCAAGTGTGATTAACGATCCAAGAGCGAGTCTTATCCGACACTATTGGACGTTAGTCTGAGCAAGATTAGAATGGCTCTCCATCATCTTAAAAACGGCAAGGCCCCAGGTGAGAATGGAATTACAGCGGAGGTTCTAAAAGCGGGTCGAAAACCGGTACTTGAAGTCCTTCAGAAGCTCTTAAATTCCCTCCTCCATGGTTGTACTACTCTGAAGGCGTAGAGCAGAAGTGCGCTGGTCTTGTTCTTCAAGAAAGGCAACAACGCTCATGAAGATCTACAGACCGATTTCCCTTCTGAGCCTCGACTACGTGCTGTTTTCGAGAGTCATTACGAATCGTCCCGCAAGCAGACTCGACGACTTTCAGCCTCCCGAACAACCTAGTTTCTGAAGAGACTTTACTACCATAGACCACATACACACCCTTCAGCAAATTGTACAGAAGACAGAAGAGTACAATCTGTCATTTTGCCTTGCGTATATGGAATATGAGAAAGCCTTCGATTCCGTCGAAATTTAGGCGGTGCTACAGTCCCTTAAGCGGTACCAAGTTGACTGTGGGTATATCGACTTACTGAAGTGCTTGCGCAGTAGCGCTACGATGGCTATCCGAGTACAGAATCAGAGTACGAAACCTAGCCAACTGCAAAGAGGTGTAAGACAGGATTACGTTATATCCCCGAAACTCTTCACCGCTGCATTGGTAGACGTTTTTAAGCTACTGGACAGGAAAGGATACGGTATTAACATCAATGGCGGCAATCACTTACCTTCTATTTGCCGACGATGTAGTCCTTATGGCAGAATCGCTGGAGGACCTAAGCACTATGCTCAATGACTTCAATAGTGTCTCCCAACGGATTGGTCTTAAGATGAACATGAACAAAACAAAGATCATGTTTAATGTCCATGTCACACATATTCCGGTAGTTGTTAGGAGCACTAAGCTCGAAGTTGTTGACGAGTACATGATAGAAAAATAATATCAAAAGAAAGGAACCTTCTTTTTGAAGTTCCGAAATCGCATAAAAAGTTGCCTTTAAGTTATCACGGGTTAATAGATACCTACATATATAATTTCATAGAAATAGGTTCAGTAGTAAATACATAGACAGACAGACAGACAGACATAAACTCTAAAAACCACTAATCTGGCGTCAGTGTCCTTTATTGTGACCCCTGGACTTGTTTTTTCAAGAATATATTAGAATTATAGACACGAATTTTCTAGATTTATTATATGTATAAATTTTTTATGTTAGGATTTGTGTTTAATTAAAAAAAAAAAGTATCAAAAATACAAATTTTATGTTTCTACTATATCAATTATGCCCAGAAATAGAATTACATAAATTTGTTTGGTTTGTATGTTTGTTACAATGCTTTCTCACTTTATTCTAATGAAAAGTTGGGAATATTTTATTTTACATATATTTTATAATTTAGTCTTTTTGGATAACAAGTCTTCAGAGATGTCAGATCTGTGTATTAATTAGTGTCTTACAGGAGAAAAATATTTTAATAGTGATTTTTTATTTTTCTCGTATTTACATCTTTTTCAGTCTTTTACTTTAAGTTAACGTGTCGTTTTAGAGTGCAATAAAGCCTCGTATAATCAACGTATCGAGCCACTGCGGTTTGCAGCCTCTGCCCGGCTTTGGTCCTTACAGTGCGAGTAAGGCGGGTTTGTTGGCTTGGACGCGAACTTTGCGGATGGAACAACGTGAATATGGCGTAAACGTTCTTGCATTTATTCCAGGTAATATTGTATTACATAAGTAGTTGTAATTATGTAAAAGGTTTTATTTTTGACTTTACGGATAACTAATTTTATGGATTTTATCGCCATTATTTGTTTTATCGCTTTTTTGATTTTATCACTTTTGTTTCTACTTATGTATAATTAAACGCGATAAATCCGTAGAAGTAGTTTTATTCAATGTGTATTGTTTACGTAAATCATAGACATAGAGAATGGACTGAGCGTTAGCCTCACAAAAATGACCATTCTCTAGAAAGAGACAAAGGGACTGTGCGGCCAATAACTGTCTCTTTCCTGAAAGCCTGATTGGTCTACGTTCTGCAAGCCAGTGACGTGGACCAATCAGAATTATAGAACGAGACAACTAGATAGTGACGTAGACCAATCAGAATTCTAGAAAGAGACAACTACTGGCCGCATATTCGCTTTGTCTCTCTCGCACTTTCCGGTCTGTATTCACTGCACAACTGAATACGGAACGCACTGACCATTCTTTATGGAAGGGCCACGCTCTCACAGAATACCAGCGTAAAATAACAGCTTAACACTGCTGTGTTTCGTATGGTGAGTGTAGAGAACTGGAGACCCTTTTTACGGGAAATGAGGCATTCCATCTTAGTCCTCACGAGTGAAAACGCATCTGTATTTTGATTTGTAATAGAAGATAGATGTAGATAGATGTCTACGGGCCGCAGCAACCACTTTCTATCAAGTGGACTGTGTGCTCGTTTGTCACCCTTATCCTATAAAAAAATATAAGAAATGATTAGTTTTTATTTTTATTTTGGAGTGTCAAAAGTAAAGTTACAGCCTATATACGTCCAACTGCTCTCATGTCTGAGCGTGTTATGGAGCAATTAGTACGTCGCGCTGGTCTAGAGCGTATTAACAGACTCTACATGTCTTCGGAATATTTTTATTTCACAGATCTCACGATGTTTTACATAGTAAATTAACAGTTGAAAGTGCAATTAACAATTTCATTTGTGACAACGAAGATCGTACTCGGATTGCTCGCGTACTGTGATATTACAGCGAGAGCGTAGTCACTGAGCTATCCATCAGTTGCAATATATATATATACTCACTTATCATGATGTGTTGGCTCGTTTGTCATCCTTATATAATTAAAAAGTTCAACGCTGTACCTGCTCAAATTAGTTGTAACAAATAACTTGAGCAGGTACAGCGCCTTTTTATCAATTTCTTCACCACTGCGGTATATGTATTTATTTGTAGGTCACCATTAGTATTGTCTTATAATATATTCTGTTCAGTTAAAAAAAATCTAAATTTTTCAGTTTTTTCCATTAATTTCAGGGGGATTTATTGGTTCGAGTAATTTAATGTCTTATCAAAAAACACATTGCAACGATATGTTGGAATATCTGTCCGAAGAACAGAGAGCTGTATATGAGAAAAAAATCAAGACTCTTTGTAATTATCTGGAAAAGGCTGCGAATAATGCGAGATTTGACTCTATGAAAGATGAAAATATAATTGAGACCTTCATCAAAGCCCTCACTGATGAAAATCCGAAAGAACTATACAAGATAGAATCTTGGAGATATATGTTTTATTATAATTTATTAAAACTGCCTATTCCAGAAAGTGCGCATAGGTGGTTAATAAATAAATTTGTTAACTTTCCATAGGTTGAATAAAAACTGCACGAAGTGACTCATAATTTCATTTTATAAATAAAAATAATTGTCTCGAACTCCTAGCTTGTATCAATATTATACACTGAAATTAAACTAAGTAATACACGACGTTTATTTTTACACGTGGATCATAGTTAATTATTTTTCTCATATTTTTACTTTAACGTCTTGCAAAGTAACGCCTGATTATATTTATTTACTGATCCCCAACGGTACCGATGGAGTAATTAATCTTTGAATTACTTTTTTCTATTTGTCACGTACTATTAGTGACGCAAAATATTGTGTAAGCCGCCTCGTTACAAAGAGTATTTACCAATTATTATTAGTTTCAGGATTAAATTAGAGTCCGTTTTAATTAATTAGTCCTGTGGATATAATGTTAACAAAAATGTAAATTATATAATTTGACAGCAAATATCAAATTCCGCGATGACTGTGGCACCCCAGCAGAGAGACTTATTTTCTAAGAAAGGCTCTTCTCAAGCAAATCTTAATCCCGAAACTATCAATAAACCACGTTTTGTCATCATCATAATTACAGCCCTTCACAAGTCCACTGCTGAACATAGGCCTCCTCAAAGGAATGCCACAAAGCACGGTCCTGAGCCACCTGCATCCATCGACTTCCTGCATATCTGACCAGGTCGTCACTTCATCTAGTGGGGGGACGCTCTACACTTCGTCCGCCGGTACGAGGCCGCCACTCGAGAACCTTTTTTCCCCATCGGTTGTCGGTTCTTCGAGCTATATGGCCGGCCCATTGCCACTTCAGCTTACTAATCCGTTGGGCTATGTCGGTCACTCTGGTTGTACTGCGGATATTCCTAAGTTTATCACGCAGAGAAACTCCGAGCATAGGTACTAACTACGTTTTGTAATAAGACGGATTATGTCAAAATAAATAAAAAGTATTTCGGGGGAAGGTACATGGTAGAGCCATGCCGCAGCTATATTAGTAGTATAGTTTTAGCAGGAATGGGTCGGCTCGATCGCGAAAGGACCGCACTCTCACAGAGTACCAGCGTAAAATAGCAACTGAACACTGTTGTGTTTCGTGTGGTGAGTGTAGAGAACCGGATACCCTTTTTACTGGAAAGAGGCATTCCATCTTAGTCCTCACGGGTGATAACGCATCTGCATTTGATTCTTTATTGAGGATAGATGTAGATGTCTTTTTGTCACAGAAATCTCTTACCATCAGGTTGACTGTGTGCTCGTTTGTCAGCCTATCCTATAAAAAAAGGTGAAGCTCCCATACTCGGATATATCCGCGGCGAATACTTACTTACTAGCAACAAACTCTAAATACTAAGTTCGTTGTTTACTTCATAAGTCTCAGAAATCAGTGGTGTCCTATGTCCATTAGTGAGACGTTAGCTCCTTAAGACCTTATTACCATTATTAAGATGTTATCTTATTTTGTTTCAAGATAAAGCCACGTTTTCGCTGCGTGTTTTTGAAACAAATGTGTTTCAGAAAGGGAGCAAGCGAAACAATTCAGCAATTTTGTTTCCTAACAGATGTTTCTTTATGAAAGAGGAGACAAATGAGCTTATGGCTCGATGAGATGTATTCGAATGTGGACGTATCTTTTACTTGTTTCTAAATATAGCTACTCTATAGTGTATGACGACAAAACACTAAATTAAGATTATTTTTAATTAGGTGCATTTTATGGGTATACTAGCTGTTCCCCGCGACCTCGCCCGCGTGTTATTTGTGGTTTTAATTTTTTTTTCCACGGAACCCTAATTCTTTTTCTAAAATAAAATTAGCCTAAGTTACTCCTTGTGACATCAGCTATCTGCCAGTGAAAATTCCGTCAAAATCGGTCCAGCCATTTCGGAGATTAGCCGGAACAAACAGACAGACAGACCGACAGACAGACAGACAAAAACTTTAAAAATTGTATTTTTGTTATTAGAACCGTATATACTTTCATATGTATTTAGTAAAATAGTAAAAAGCTGTAATTTTGAGATTACAAACAGACACTTCAATTTTATTTATTTGTATGTATATATATATATATATATATATATATATATATATATATATATATATATATATATATATATATATATGTAGTATGTATTTATTATATTCTATTCCATAAAATACGCCTTATACCGTAAAAGCACCTCAAACTCAGATTTCAATATTCGTTCAAAATGTTTAAACGATCCACCAGAATCACTAAGCAAGTTTTGTTTTCTTAAAAGATAATCCCGACCCCTTCATCTTTTTCTTTTATTTCGACTAGAGATTGCTGTATGTAAATGTACGTCGCACCTAACTTCGGGCAACATATATTTGTGCCGTGCAGCAATCTAACCCGCGACCCGCAGCATCTGCTACACTACCAAGCCATCTAAATCGTGCGTTTCTCACTTGCCTTTTCATAATATGGAAAGGCAAGTGAGAAACGTACGATGATGATATATATTATATTATGAACGATGCGATATAAACTGTTAGTAACAAGACGCTTCAGATGTTAGGTATAAATAGGTATAAAATGATAAATACGTAATAAAATTATTGTCTCCATTGAATTAAAATTTTATTAAAGAGATTATTTCTACATTATTAAGAGGTTATTCGACTGTATTTTTAATGTATGTTTTACGATGTATGTGAGGTTAGTTTTAACCCAATTTGATGTTTTAATTTACCGATATAATGTATTCCAAAGTATTCCCATGGTAATTGAAGTTCGCTAGATCTGATGATTTCGAAGTCGGTTTATATTTTTTTAAATGCTACTAACGTACTAACGCATCAGCGAAAACACACTTTTTTATTTACATTAGTTTATTTAATTTTTAACAATAACTCTTTTTAAGGCAGTCTGCTAAATATGTATTATAATATTGTGTTATTTAATACTTTAAACGTCTTTGACGTTTCTCTATGTTATTAGAGAATAATTAAGAAAACTGTAATCAATATACCAATTAAATATCGGTAATATGTTGAAATTAACGACGTCGTTAAAATTTCATTAATTAACAATATTATTTCTTATCCAGTCTATATACTGAAACACGTTTGTATAAAGGGAAGGTACTGCGGTTCCACATGGAGCGTCCGCCCTCTTCCCACTTACGACTCCTATGACGTAATATTTTCCATCATAGAGCATCATTAAAGGACCTCCGGAGTCTCCCTTGCATGTGTCCTCTCCGGTTTTTCCCGCCGCGCATAAATGAGAGGCTGATAAGTACGGGTAGTACTGCTGGCACTCATCATGCGGGACTAGGTTGACTACCGTGGATTGTTTGATATCAGACATATATGGTCCATTACGACCCCAACCAGCAACAGGTAGTGGTAAGTCGTAGAACACTTGGTTATCTACGTTGAGTGGAGGTAAGCATATCGGTCGGATGAATTCTGTAACAAACAATATTTTTTTATCAATTTTATAATTTTTCGTAAAGGGTACTCAATATAAACAGGCAGTGAATGAAATGTATTTTTCTCTATTGCTACCACGGGGATCATTTTACTCTTTGCTCTCGTTAACATCTGCAAGAATAAGGGTATTTCTAAAAAGCAATTTTCGTTTTGACAGAAATAAAAGAGAGCAACAATAATTTTATGATACACGTTTAGCAGCCCGGTCATATATTTAATCATCATTTAGATGTTCACATTTATAAATGAGATCGTGACTTAACAGAATTGGTCTCCCTTCGAAATTAGTGGGGCTAGTGATGGAAGTATAAAATGAATGCTTCTTCACACACAGCGATTAGATGATTCGTTATATTGACTTTCCATAGGATTCGCACGATCCCTATTTTTCACGATTCTTGAGCATTTTTAACTTTTCTTTTCTATAACCATGAGTTACTTTTGTAATTAAAACTTAAAACGATTTGTGACAAAACACGAAAACGTTGTTGTGTGAACGAGCTTATTTTATTTTGCCTTCATAAGAATTTATTTCTTTATCGTTTTTTAAACAATATTTATTTTGAATATTTCATTATTAAAAATGAACGATTGAATTAAGTTATTGTGGTCTCACATTTAAATTTGATAATATTTTATTTTATAGGATAGGGTGACAAACGAGCACACAGTCTATCTGATGGTAAGTGGTTGCTGTGGCCCATAGACATATACATCTATCCTCGTATGCGATACAAAATGCAGATGCGTTGTCACCCGTGTGGACTAAGATGGAATGCCTCTTTTAAAGTAATCCAGTTCTCTACACTGACCACACGAAACACAGCAGTGTTAAGCTGTTATTTTACGATGGTATTCTGTGAGAGCGTGGTCCTTCCTCGGTCGAGCCGGCCCATTCGTGCTACAACTATACTACTAATATAGCTGCAGCATGGCGCTACCACGTTAAAAATGAATGAATATGAAACGTTATTTCTACTATTACATTATTTGTCATTATTAAAGAAAAGAAGATCTTGGAATATTCACCAGTATAGGGCGCTTTTCCACGAAGGCGTATCAGTGCAATATCGTTGTAGAGTTTCTTATCATCGTATTCCGGGTGTGGAACTATGTTCTCAGCATATATTATTACGTTCTCAATACACGTCTTTTCGCCACCAAAATTAAGCTTGCAATCCCTCGGGAAAGTACGCTTGTCATATTCTGCCAAGGTAATTTCAACACTGAAAGAAGTATAGTTAGATGTGTGTGTAATTAAAAACAAATTTTGTTTTGTATGTACTTTATGCACAATATATTTTTCGTTTTTGGTTCGTACTACTACAATGTTAACTATGAAATTTTTTAGGTGAGCATAAATTCTCAGAACAATAATGTACTAATATTTTTTATTTACATAATTTTTAAAAATATACTTCATTTATTACCATGATAAAAAATAGTGTGTCAGGATCGCGCCAAATGGAAGTCCGTAGTCTCTGCCTACCCCTCTGGGTGACAGGCGTGAGTGTTTGTATGTATTTGTATTTGTATAATTTTATAAGTCACAATTATTTTTTATTTTTCGATCAACTTCTAAATTCAAATAATTTTTTTTCTTTATTTTCGTTGTGTAAAAAAAATTGTTGTTGTAATAACAATTCACATTATAATCGAATATGAGTTCCACTGTGGCATCAATAGTGTACAGGGGGTATCTAACAATGTTCTTTAAATCGAATTTCAGTCACGGCATCCACTCTCAGCTTAGTAAAGCGCTCGAGTATGTGTATTCTCTATGTCCTTACTTTTATAGTCCGATAGGACAGCAATTCAATACAACCGGAGACAGATCACGCGCAGGTTTACGCTGGCTAGGGCTAGGCTTTACAAGCTATCCAAGGCACGGGGATAAAACACCAACATCTTCCTGATTCCAAGCTGCTTCTGAGAATTTCTTGACAGAAACGCCTTAAAACTGTTTGGCCTGTCTCACGATTTTTATAGATTCGAACCCGGAATCACTTTATTAGTAGTCGCGCTAACGGCCACTAGACCAACAAGGTAGTCAGACCAACAAAGCTGGCACCATTAACAGTGTGTACGGACCAAGTAGGTACCGCAAATGAACGTATGTATTTGGTTTGATCGAATCCATTCCAGAAATTATTCGACGACACGAAATTAAAGTTGATTATGACGAGCCAAGCTATAGTATTAAGTGACAAAATGACATTGATTAATTTGCGTGAAATTGGGAAAATTAAGCTCGTATTTGTATCTACCGTATGAATTTACTGAAGAACTGTAACAAACTCGCTCTGAAGCTTGACTTAATTTGTTAAATCGGCACACAAATGAGAAGATTTAAAACAGTGTTCTCATTAGTAATATAAAGTGGATCTTGTATAACAGTTGAAAACGCCTTTTTAATGTTTTAACTGAAAGTATACTTGTTTTAACAATGTTTGAACTTAAAGAAAAAAGTAAAGTTGAAGTATCAAAGAAACAGCTTGCGACTATATGGTGGACCTGAGGATAATTCGTACTGAACTGAGCTTCATTAGAAGTAGCCAAACAATAATTACAGAGATAAACTGTCAAATATAATAAAGGATAATGGATAAGGTGGCAAACAACCAAGACTTGTCAATGACTTGACTTTCCTTACACTGTGCCATATCAAAATTAAAGAACTTTGTTCTTGCCAGCCTTACTCTTAATGATTCTCTTATATTCGGAATGCAAATACCTTTACATTCGAAATCATGGGTTGCCTTCCTTAGGATTTCTATTGCAAACTTTCATTAAAGTTTTGAAAGCGCGTGGAAAATAATGGACGATGATAATTATATCAATTAAATGTATAATTTTCACTAGTTGTCCATATTCCTTTACAATAAAAACCGGTATAGTCATAGGTATAGGAGCACTTTAATATATTACATATTACATACTGAATGATGGATCATTTTAAGAATCAAATATGTTTAAATATTGAAGTACTGACCTGCTAAGTGTAGCATCTTTTTCATGTATGCAATGTGCAGCAGTAAGAACGTATTTTGAACTAATTAAGCTGCCACCACAGTTGAAAGAGGTTTTATTTGTACCATAGTCGAATGTTGTTTTCAGAAGTACAGTCCACGGGAATTGATTTAGTTCGGTTTCTGTACCACCTAGTTACCGAAAAACATGAAATTCTTTAGCACATTTATGGCTACTTACACTATTTAGAAAAAAAAATTGGCAAGATCATGATAAATGTCAAAACAAATGACCACTAGATCCACCTAGTGGTCATTTGTTTCAAATCCATCTGCCAAACAAACAAAAATAATTTAATTACCTGCGATACGATTATCCAAATCTATTCCAACAGTGACATTTTCAGTTTGTCTCGTCGTTCTTCTGTTATTTCGCATATACATAAAACTGTTGCGGATACGTTGAGTAACCATAATTTGTAAATCTAGAATAATTTAGAGAATAATTTATAAGCTTTATTAATGTAATATTCATCGTTTACTAATTTTGTTACCGTATTTTTTATTAAATTGAGTATTTTAAAAGGCAATTCCAAGTACAAACACTCATACATACCAGTAATACCCTCACCACTGGACATATCTAAGCCACAGCATCCAGATGCAGGGTCGGGAGGTAAACTTGTTAATCCTTGACATTGGTTGTTCAATTTTGTTCCGCCCTGTATATTACCATTACCATTTACACCATGGAAGTTGGGGCCTTGATTGGTTGGATATACTGGAAACACATTTTGAACTGGCCGTTTCGGAGGATTATTTCGCCCAGGATTAGCTTGAGTTGGAGGTTGTTGTGTTGGATTAAAACTTGGTTGGTAGCTATTACAGTTAGGATTCTGTAGATTATTTAGAAATGATTGATAACCAAAATTATTTTGCGTTGGACATGGTGGATACTGGTTAGAAAAACTTGGCTGCTGCCCATTGGGTACGAACATTTGTGGATTTTTCGTCATTGGAAATGTTTGTTTTGGGTAGTCGTTTTGTTGATCGGGTTTATAAAAATTGGGTCGGTTGTGAAATTTCTGGTTGTTTATATCTGGCTTTTCATAATTTGGATAATGATTGCCAAGGTTGTGATTATTGCCAATATTTGATCCAATGTTTGATTGATGGTTGTTATCAAAGTTTTGACCACCGTAAGGTGGGAAATTATTAGTATACTGCGGGTGTCGTCCTGGTCTGTTATTAAAAGCGCCAGGCTGAACATATTCTTGATCGTAAGGAGATTTATTAACATCTCCTTGGTCCTCGTTTACTATACTCCAAACATTTAAACCAGGACAGCAAACCTAAAATCGAAATAGTTGTTAAAAAGTGAACTACAAGTAATCAATCATTTTGCTACTGTTTACTTAAAATGTGATAAAAGATACTAGAAAAATACGTTTAATTATTCAAAACCAGTATAACCTGGTAGGTTACAAGAGTTAATAAAAATACATTTAAAACAGGTTGTATATGTGTTTAATAATACCAGCTGAGAATATGACCTTTTTCAAAATTCGTCTGTATGCTTTAAATTATTTTGTTGTTTTACTAACTTATATACAAATTTATCCTTTTTTAAAACTGCCCTTGTTCAATTCGACATATTTTACGTAGGTATGCTGTTATATGACTTACTCATGAACAAGCATAATGGTTTAATTAGTACACTCGAAATTACATTATCCCCTTTTGTAGTCGGGTAAGAAATGTACATTCATTAATATTATATTCTATTTCATTAGTTATATAATTGCCAAAAAAATAATTACATAATCTCCTCTAGCAACAGGCGCAAATCCATAATAAGGACTTGGTTCTTCCGCTTTCGGTTGTTGACAAGGGAATTGCCTTATCCACCTTTGTTGTTCGTCTCTATTCATATTGTTAAATTGCGGACAATTATCTAAATGGACACATTTCTCACAAACATCTGAAAAATTGAAATATATTTATTTATATATTTATGTTCACATAAAAAGGCACAAAACCTTACGACTATACAATGAGATCGTTGAATGGGACTATTTAATCTAAAAAATATATTAAAATATGCTCCAGTATTATCAAATAGGAAATTTAATTAAAAAGCCTATGTACAAGTGTGTTCATTTATATATAATACATAAATGGTAAGTGATAATGTTTATGAATTATTCTTTATTGTTTATGTTATCCCTTTTTTATATATTATAAGTAATAACGGTCAGGTAGCTGATAATACATTTAAAAAATTAATAGTAGGATTTTAAAAAACCCTTAAATTCGCAATAAAAAATATTGAAGGTCACTAATCTATATTTCAATCCTGCCATGTTAGAGCAAGGAATACGCATATACAAAATTTAATTGAAATCAATTTAGTAGTTTAGGAGTTCATCGCGGATAAACAATGTAACACAAATTTTTTATATATAAAGATAATAATATAATGATATTTCAAGCCGCTAAATTCACATATCCATAACTCCGTAACCTTATCTCTCCCCATGGACGTCGTATGAGTCAATTATGAGAAATGCCAGAAAGACCACAAAACATGGTATCCGAGAACTGGAGCGAGATCGCCAATTCTCTTGTCATATCTGACATTAACGGAAAACTCTTCCTTCTAAAGAAGATTATAATAGTACACTCTGTATGGATAAAGAAGGGACAGAAAATAAGAACTGTATTATGTCAAACGTACGAAAATAATAATTATATCATGTTAATACCTTATATAAATATAATATTATATAATTATTGATCATATTAAGAATTTAACACGTTAAGTGATTTTAGATTAATTAAACGTTACAATTTCTATAAAGAGAAAAAATTACCTTCACGAAAAGCACTAGATACAACTAAATTAAATATTACAGGTAAGATAATTAAGCACTTGTGCATTGTTAATATATTAAAAAAAAAGAAAACATTAAACATTCATTTGCGTTACCGACTTCCCGACACGATATTCATTAAATATGTATAGAATGCGACTGAAGTTCAACTGGCTGTGGGAATTTGCCACTAAATGGGTGACGTATAATACCCGTTATTCTACTAATATTTTGATGACATTGGAAATCGTTAGGACTTTAATTACAAATTGATTGATTCTAAGAAAAAAAAGTTATCATGTGTGACAATGGTTGTTGAGCTACTAGTGTAAATGCTATTCATTGGAAATGTAGAATTATTTTTATCGATGTATGCTGTTCCGAGTAATTATTTATAATATTTTGGTTACAAACGAGCACCCCACAGTAACCTGATGATAGTAAATAAAGAATGCAGCCTATGGATATCTGCCAGCCAATTCCGAACAAAGAAAACCACATATCCATTGACAAAAAGACTAAATGAAACATCCCAGTCTGTGATCGTACTGCCTAATATAAATGTTCCTTCCCCGGTCAAGCCGACCCATACAGTGCTGGAAATAATATGACAAATTCGAAGTCTACGTATAAATTAGTTTCACTGGTGAATGTATATATAGTATGTATACATTCACCAGTACATATATAGTAACTCCATTTGGAATTACCACAGCGGTACGCAGTTGACTCAATTCTGAACTTTTAAAATATATTACGCTTCATATGTATCATATTGTGTCATATTTTTACTTACTATTGGATTTTTAAAAGGTTTGTTGTAATAAGTAATAACTAATTATAGGAATTTAAAAGGAAATGAAAAGACGTATTGTAATTACCGGGTAAAAGCTTCCTCCATTTCAAAAAAAGCTTTTACAAAAATTTACTTCGCAAATATCCGCGTTATAAAATAAAATGATGTGTCTTACCTAGTATGAAGAAGCACCTCCCGCCCTCCCTCAATTGCGTGCACTATCCCCGTCACCACTAATCCCAGCACCGCTACTTCCAACACAACTGCTGGGATTAGTGGTGACGGGGATAGTGCACGCAATTGAGGGAGGGCGGGAGGTGCTTCTTCATACTAGGTAAGACACATCATTTTATTTTATAACGCGGATATTTGCGAAGTAAATTTTTGTAAAAGCTTTTTTATAATGGATTTCCGCAAAGTAACGCCTGATTCTATTAATTATATTCCTCCATTTCGTTTATTCCTAAAAAGGTTCTTTGATCACCTGTACTAAATCAGCATTCAGGACTGCAATTAACAAGTTCTGTGGTGCATAGGGGATCGAAATCCTGCTGTTTGTGTCACATGTCGTGCTTTGTGGATTTAAAAAAAAAAGAAAATAAAAAAAAATCATAGCCAGTTGTCTCGGCAGACGTTGTTATGCTCTTTATGGTAGGTTGCGCCTTAAGTTTTACTTTAAATTAACTCCGAACTTTACCATACAAGAGAAAAACATAGAAAATTTGACCTGCTCAAAGTTTAAAAATTTAATCAAATTAAGTTTGTAAAAAGTGGTTATTATAATATTAAGGAATTTATGGATGATTGTAAGCTGTTATTTTTTTAAGACCCGCTGGGTTTCTTGCTGGTTCTTCCCAGTGTAGAGGTTTTTTTCTTCAAACCAGTGGTAATTAAACACAAGAGTGACTTTCAATAAGTATTATTTATAATGTACATTGTATAAAAAAGTTTCTGTTTCTGCTTCCGTTTAACAATGTAAATATAAATTTTATTTAAATAATTAATTATCAACCACAGCGTCATATCCGTATTTTGTGATTTTCCATTTTGGCAGTAAACCATCACAATATATTATGATTATGAGTCATTTTGGTCCCTACATACAATATTTCTAAATAACCTGACTACAGCGTCACATATCGGATCCTAACATAGCTATGAACTATCGTCTAACAAAAATAATATATTTGGTAATATTAGACATCAACGGTCAAGTAGTTCAAAAGTTACACGATCACTAATAGGCACTCCAATAGTTACATAAAGATTTCTATAATTGTTAATTTTAGTTTATTTAAAAGCTGAGTTATAAACATTTACTGTTCTCTTCTTTATGAGATTGTAACAGGTTACTGTTGAGAATAAGTCTCACTCATTAAGAAATATATTTGCCGCAATCGCTGAGCTCAGAAGACGTACTAGCAATCGCATTCGTCGGCTCCATGTCGCAAGCCATGAGAGCCACGGCTTCGAATCCGGTACGGAACAAAATATTTTTATGGCCCACAAGTAATTGAGTATGGCCTTGTGTAATTTATATTTTTAAGCAGACGAATTCTAGGGTAACGTTATTTTAAAGAATAAAAAACGTAGAAATTTTGTCGTAATCTTGTCGCCAGTCTAGGTTTTTCTTTCTTTCCTTTTAGTTCCTGACATTTATTATGGTCGGCTCTTACAAAGAGGGCTATGAATTCTCTTTTCACCACTTTTCAATGATAATAATTAAAATCAGTAGCTGTTAAAATAGTCATACTATTTAAGCAATCAATTCAATCAATTTTGCAAGAGAGTATCCTATAGTAGATAGAGTATGCAGTAACCGCTACACAATATAATTTAAAATTAAAAATTTTGTACAACCGACTTCAATATAAATTATTAAGAATCACTCAAAAACTATTGGTCAGACCTTGATTAATATGGAACTACATGTGAAGCTTTCAAATAAAAAAGAATCATCGAAATCGGTTCAACCAGTAAAAAGTTATGAGGTAACACACATTAAAGAAAAATAAACATACAGTCGAATTGAGTACCGTCTCCTTTTTGAAGTCGGTAGAAAGGCAAGAAGTGCATAATAACCATCTATGGAGGACCACAATCTTCCCAAAGTCCTTTGCTACGACACTAACGATTTTAATTAGTAGACTATTACGCCTTTACCTTTTTTATTATTTATCTTTATTTAAAAAGGCTTTTATCCTACAAGGATATATCAGCCTTATTGTAACATACCTTGTGCCTGTTACACGTATAATCATAAGTATTTAGAAAGGGTGGAATCAATGTGATAAGAAAATATATAAATTAACGTTTTTGCTGTCGCTGAGTGTGGCTCCGCAAGTATACTAAACAACCAACCAATTTCACCCAAATTAATATTAAATTTTTACACAAGATTCTCCCTTTCCCTTTGATATTTGACACATTTTGCTAGCATATGTTGGATATCATCTATGATGTGATAAATATCGCAACTGGGCGAGCCTGCTTTTAGTGCCCAGAACGTAACGTATGTGTAGTAATTATATAGTTTCTATTCATTTCAATACTATTATACCACGGTATACGAAGAGCCTGATTTTGAATTGTTTTATACCATATTCCTTTTTCCCGGCTTCTTTCTTTAAAATAGTTTATAAGGCAAAATTGGTATATTTTTCGTCTCTTTATGATCACATGTAATTATTTAACTAAAATAGCAAAGCAAATTTTTATTAAGATAGCAAATTCAAATTTATCCGTAATATTTAACATATGTTAAATTTTTAACAGTTTTAAACAGTATTACTGACATAAAAAGCTGATCGATCGAAATTGTGGTGAAATTTCTCAAATTCTCAAAGTGAATTGCAAAGCTGCAATCGTAATTGGCCAATCAGTCGCTGAAACGAAATCGGAAATGTCGTACACGCGCAGCTTGTGAATCCAGAATTCAATTATCATGGTAATAGATGCTCTTTACATTGGTTCACACAATCAATTAGAACAAATGTCGCTTAGTGACTTTCGCTTAGTGGTTTATTTAGGTGGTGCGTAACAAATTAGAAATGAAAATATGTTTGCTTAACTATTATATTTTAAATCCTAATAAATAAAGGAAATGATGATATCTAAAGGATTAAACGATGAGATTTATTTCCTTATTTATTTCGTGTAAATGTAAATTAACAAAAAATAAAGAGAGCAATTTATGATTTAAAGCCTAAAGAATCGCTGCGACAAAAATTTAAGGAAATTAATATATTAACTTTGGCCTCTCAATATATTTATGAAAATGTAATGTACGTACACAAAAATAAAAGTAGTTTTACAAAAATAAGTGATATTCATTCTGTAAATACTAGGAACAGACACAAGCTAGTAGTACCAGTTACTCGACTCCATCGAGTCAGTAATTCACTCTTGGGGCGATGTATACGCTTTTACAACAAAATTCCAGAAAATATACAAATTTTGACCTGCTCAAAGTTCAAAAACTTTATTAAACTAAGTTTGTATAAAAAGGGTTATTATAATATTAATGAATTTATAGATGATAATAACCCCTGGAAATGAGGTGATCGCTACCAAGCTATTTCTAATTTGTTGTGTTGTTAATTTGTGTAACATACATGATTGTAAGCTGTTATTAAAAAAAAAAGTCCCGCTGGGTTTCTTGCTGGTTCTTCCCTGGACAGAGGTTTTTTTTTCGAACCAGTGGTAATTATACAAAAGAGTGACTTTCAATAAGTATTATTTATAATCTATATTGAATAAAAAAGTTTCTGTTTCTGTTTCTGTGTTCCTGTTGTCTGTGATTTACGAGAGGACTCTAAAAAAATGGATTATAAAATCATATCTGATTAGTTTACTTTTATTAAATTTAAGTGACAAACGAGCTAGTAGTTCACTTTATGGGATCCAACTATAAAAATACCTTACGTAATCTGTCACCATTGGGGATTAAGATAGAACGCTTCACAGCCTGTATTTATTCTGTCTCTCAATACGCCGCAATAATCGCATTGTTGCGAGGCGAAATCAAGTAAAAAATAAACTTTGCATAGTGATCTTGATGCTTGATATGTTATTATTCTGTTATAAAAATCAATGAAATAATTAGATCAAAGCTTTAGATCAAAATTTAAAACACATACTTTCAGATTAATACCATTCACTAAATATATATATTATGCTATGTGATACATATTATAGATAATGCTCCTAAAATTATATAAAAATTATAGAGATCTGATTGAATATCGGGGGATTATTAAACATTAAAACTT